TCCGTCTGTTCGTCTTGTGCTGAACTGGAATTCCAGACTCTACAGTTATTAACTTTTTTTCAGTATTGCTTCCACAAAGTGTCTTGTAGCTGAGAAATGACAAGTGACTGAGATCAGTCAGGGAACAATTAAAACCATAGTTTGAGCCCAAGGAGATTCTTGTATAAAGCTGTTTTTTGTATAAAGCTGCTTTTTAGGGGGGCAGGTCTGTATGTCATGAACCTCGTGACCAAATCACCCCAAATTTGGACCTCTGATCCTACCCAGCACCCCCATAAAGAACAGAAAATTACAATACAATTTGAGTAAACCTGTGGATTTTAGAGCAGTTACAATAGTCAATCTTTAAAGAGAAAGTAATGCCAAACCTTAACTATACCAGAGCTGGTGTTCTACTATAGAATAACTTCCCAAAGGCCTGGAGGGTGTGAAAGTCAGATATGTCCATGTGTTGACAGAAGACAGTTTGAAGTTCCTCCTATTCATAAGTCCTTGGGAGAAGGGAGAGCGGGGAGCAGTGGGAGGAGAGCAGATGAGCTGGTGATTGTGGGGTGCCACAAAGCAAGGGGGGCTGAGACGAGTGAAGAGGTCTGTGAAGGATTAGAGGGAATCAGAGAGGGCTGGATACAATGGAAGGGAAAGGTGCGAGAGAGGAGGTCAGGGACAGGAGCTTCTGAGAAGTGGTAGCATATTGGGGTGGGCTGGGGGAAAAGGGGGTGCTGTGGTGGGGAAGGATTGGGTGGGAGATTTAGGTAACATGGGAGTGGGGAACACTGGGAATAGTGGGAGGGGGAGGAAAGGGGTTACTCTAAGAAGCGGGGTGGGTCTAGAGGGAGGGGGAAGGGAAGGTTTCAGAGAGGCAGAGATTTGGGGCAAAAACAGTCTCAGTGGAGTGCCACGGTCTCTGATGCCCTCTCCCTAGGCAAAGCTCATCAACACTACTCCACCTAGGGATCTAAACAGTGTGTAAAAAAAGTAACCGTTTAACCTATTGTAATTCAATCGGTTAAAGGGGAATTAGAGGTGCGGGGACGCTGCAGCCCCCCCATGCTTTACATGGGGACCCCCTCCGCCCCACGCACTCAGGGTCCTGGCTGCCCCCTAACTCCGCACCTGGGGCTCTGCTGCTGCCGGCATCTGGGGATGGCAGCAGAGCCCCATGCGCGGGGCCGACAGCTGGGACCCCGGGCATGCGGGGAGAGCAGCCAGGACCCCGGGCGCACAGGGGGAGCAGCCGGGACCCAGGCATGTGTGTGTGTGGGGGGAGCGGAGTTTAATTGTTAACTGGAACTGATAAGCATCAAGCTTCTTGGTTAACCGGTTAAACGTTTACACCCCTAACTCCGTCCTCATCCTCCTTGACCTGGTCAGCTGCCTTTGCCACCGCTGACCCTGCTCTCCTTCTTGATACCTTGTCTTTCCTTGTCCTCTTCCTGGCTCCCTTCCTACGTCTGTAATTACTCC